ATCCAGTGCTGAATTTTTATAAGACAAAAACTTTAAATGAGACAATTGAATTGGCACTTTATTTTTATTAAGATATTTTTCAAAATACATATAGCTATTTCCTTATGAGGGTGTTAAGGGAATGCACATCTTTGCTAGGCAATAATTTAGTGGACATGTTAGCCTACAACTAAATGTTGAAGGATTTATATATTTAAATTACACTCACTCTAACGGCTTAAACTTTTGGAATAGATAGTAGTTAACATAGTATCAGAGCCAAAGGTCTCGAGTTCAAACTTCACCGTCACCCAAATTAAAAAATTAAAAAATACGTGTTGGACCAAAAGAAGGGCATACGTGAGGGGATGTGTTGAAGGATTTATATATTTAAGCTTAAGCTTACACTAAATCCTATGGCCGTAGTGCAAATTTTCCAAGACCAGCACACGTCTTCTAGCAATTTTCACGAGTCTAACATAAGCTTGTTATTAAGATCTATAGAAAATTCGTTTGATCTTTGAATTGGGCAAAGTAAATTTATTTTGAAAGTACATTACGAAAGAATAAATCTGGAAGTTTTGCTAATGATTAGGTGTCAAAAAGTTGGTCAAATAATCCATTAAAACCCTGTTTCCAGCTGCGATTTAAAGTTGGACCGCATGCACTGTCGGATTTTTATAAAAATATTTGCTGGTCTAAAAATTACAAAATTTTACGGAGCAATACTAGATGCATAAAGGAGGCTGTGATTAAAATTTGAAAGCTTTTGGATCTCTACAGATCCTTATAGAAAACATTATTTTCCAATAAAATAAAGGTCCCTGTTTTGCATAATATAATGTCAAGCATCAAAAGAGTCTAAGGTGTTTCCAGCAACATAAGCATATGATTATTTAGTAAATGAGAACAATTTGTAAAAAATATATATATACAAGTAACATCACCCAAGCTTCTGCTACACCACTCCAATCAAAACCCAAACCACCATATCACAACTAAACTTTTATCTCAAACACGTGAAAGGAACATATACAACTAAGGGTCATGTTATCATCTCAGATCAACAGTACAAGAGATAAACACATTAAGAGCAAATCCAAGCATGGGTTATACTATCAGTTTCATGCCATCAGGTATACGCATAAGCTTCATCCATCAAAAGGTTTCCAGAATGAAAGCAAATCATAGATAGCAGCTAGCATGTCCACATCCACCATCTCGGGTGACAATACCTGAAATTGTTAGGAATGAGACGACGCCCAACAGGAAAACCTTTAACCAATGCCTCCATGAGGTTTTTGGCACATGATCTACTTAAGCAAAAACGCAATTTCCAATTTAACAATAAAAATCAGTCACAAAATGATTAGATTGTACACAACAAAATTTATGAACTTAATAGCTCCAAAACCTTTAATTGAGTTGATAAAGAATATAATTTTTCATTTGGACCTTTCATCAAACATCTTCACTACAACTAGAGCGACCCCAACTATCTCTCCCACATCAACTAGTTGGAATTCAACTCCAAATACCCATCTAGGGTCTACTGCTGTGGGTTTATGGTCTTTCACCAACAGGTAGCCCATACCCAATTGCTCACCCCTTCCGTCCGAGACAATACCCTCCTAGTCCCCAAACTTTAGCAATAGCATGGCCCAGTCCAAGTATTGGTCTTGTTGAACCTAGGTATGTACGTAATGGAAATAAAGTGGAACACCAAAGGATGATATTGTGTCTACATGTGAACATGTGGTCTTAAGGATGATATTGTTGAATACGAACTTAAGGCATATATAGCTGCTCTGTTTTGACTCAGTTTCGTCTAGGGGTGTAACTTGGGCGGGTTAGCCCAACCCAACTCGAGCCTAGCCAACAAAATTTAGAACTTGGGCATATAAATTTACCAATGGGACTGATTTTATCAAAACCCAAGTTTGTTCGGATTGGGCTGGTTTAATTTGAACACAACCCAAAACCCCAAATTAAACAATCTGAACCCAAGTCAATATTTTGTTTTTCTAAAATTCTTTTAACTTCTTGTTATATATTTTATTTTGTAATTCATTTTTATTGTTACTATATATTTTACTGCTTAGACTTATTAATATTATTTATACTAATACACTAAAAAAAATTAAAAAATTATTGCCTTAGCCCTCAATATGTATCGAACCAGTTTTGAAGCAGTGATCAAACTGAGTCATGACTCAGGAGCAATCAGTTTGAATAAAATAAATAAAATTTTAAATAATTTACCTCAATTGGGATAGTGTGTGCCTATATATATATATATAGTCAAGGAAATGAAATAACTTTTTTCAACATACTTTAATTTTTCAATATGTTTTTTTTTTAAGAAACTGAAGCACGTGTCAAATTATCCTTTAAAAGTGTTTCAATATGCTTTTTTGTATTCTTTATTATGTCTTTATAAGATTTCAATTGTAAATGACAAAAAAATGTCATACTTAAGTGATATGAATGTTCTACATTTGCACTTCTAGATATTTAATAAAGGGTAAAGTCTAAAAAAACACCTTCCTATAGTTTTGATTTTGTGCGGATTACACCCCTTTACTTTATTTTGTGCATCTAAATCCACACTAAATACTACAACTACAATGTTCAACTAACCACCTCCGGCAAAAGATTTCCAATAGAGAATGGGTTAAAATCCAGAATTGCCCTTTCATATTTCGTAATTGCCCCCTCACTATATTCACGACCCTCACTTCTCTTCTTCCTCACCGCCACCACCCACAGCCACACCATTCCATTGAGCTCTGTGTTGGGAAGTAACTCTCCATAGAGCTCTGTGTTGGGAAATAACTCACCACCAACCTCCTTGCTCAATCCGAGCACATTATTGTGACTCTGTCATCAACGATGAGGTCTATTCCAAGCATTTCCTCATTTCCAGTATCGGTCCTCCCTTTGCTCGAAGAGAGAACAATGCTGGCGAGCTTGAAGCAAATAAACCCAATTTGATTTCTCTTTAAGCCAATACCCTAAATCTTAGTGCGAGAAGAGTGAAAAATTCAGAGATAGATAAAGAAGAAATAATTAAATTCAAACCCAAATCTTAGAGAGAGAGGCGACAATGCTAGCGACTGTTAAAGTCGCGATTCCGGCGAGGCAACCAATGAACGGCGGTCATGTGTGGCAAGAAGAGGCGCTAGAGCGGCTGTTCAAAGTCCTCAACGTTTTCGAAACGGTTAGGGATTTGAGTCCTTGATGAACGGTCAGGGACTGACTGCCTTCCAGACAATACATACAAAGACTTCTAGGAAGGTTTCTGGGCCTTAGCGAGGGGACTGATATGTTCTCTCTAAAGTTTCTTTAATGGTCTTTGATTCAATTTTAAATCAAATTATATATTAATTTCATGTCTTAGTATGTTTATTGAATTTTATTAATTAACTTACTACGACGAGCAATTGTGAAGATGGTGTTGAAAATGTTGTCCACTGGTGGGTCTCTGATAATAGGGTGGTTTCTGTTTTGTCCGCCGTTGATGAAGATACTGTTGTGTCCGTAGCGTGGATGATAGGGGTATTTTAGTATATTTGCAGCTCCAATAAACAAGCAAAAAGGACTAATTCACACACATTTTTTAATAGAGGGGTGGTTAACAAATATGAGGGGGGTTTTACGCACAATATACATACTAGAGGGAGTTATCCGCACACGACCCTTTACTAAAAGAAAAATGACAAGTATTAATGAATTGAAAAATAAAATTTTCTTAAAAATTTTGATGTTTACAAACATGGGAAAAAAGAAAAATGTAATTTGCATATTTATTATAAATAAATAAATAAGGTTGACCCATGAAACGGGCCCAACCTGTCCAAATATTTGGGTTCGGGTTATGGATATAATCCATTTTTGGGTAGACTTCAGACTAGCTCAATCCAATCCAATTTCAAGTCGAGTTTGGGTTGGGATCGGGCTGGGTTGGGCTACCCATCTAATTTCAATTTAAATTTTTTGTTGATAGTGTGTATTGTTGCACCATCACCTTTGGAAAACAAAAAAAAAAAAATTAAAAAAGAAAAAAACGAATAAGGGAGAATAAGAAAAGAAATTAGAAAGATAAATCAAGAGTTAGTTGTTAAGCCTTGACTTCTACTTATGCTCCTTGTAGAATATGGTAGTGTCCCAATTCTGTTCTATCAAAGGTTGTAATACATCTAGTGATATTTCCACTACCTTTTAAAGGAAATGACCACTACAAATGAATGCGTGAGTTTTTTTGCTAATGAAAATAAATAAATTGTGACTTACCCACCATTTTTTTTTTTTTTTTTTTTCGATCGTGGTACTGGCCTCTTAACAGAGGTGGTGATCGTTTAGTTATCAAGCTAATGAAAGTTGGTGCAAGTATTACTTCGATCTATGAAGATACTCATTCACACTGTTATGCAGCTGCATGACCAATGGAAGATGGAGTGAGTTAAAGAGACAAACAAATAGTTTGGCTCTTGGTAGTGCTCAATATGCTTTTCAAAGCATTGCCACAATTTGTTTCTTATAGGGACAGAGTCATGTACACTTCAATGAGGCAACTGTCTCTGAATTTTTTTTTCCCACTATTTTACATTATTATTTTGTCATTTTGACATATATGCTTATGAAATATTACCTTTATCCCCTTAAATTATTTAAAAAATTTAGTACTGCCCCCTTCAGCAGAGTTTCTAAATCTGTCCGGGTTTCTTAGATGTTTTTTATTTTTATTTTATTTCTTTCACCGAAGAGATGGCAATTAGTGATTGTGATAATCTTTGATCTATTTTAATGAAAATTTTCTTATCTTAGAAAAAAAAATTAATAATAATCGGTGATCATAACATCAATTCCATTAATTTTATTAAAAAGTAATGTGGGTGCATTGGGGAAATATTTAAAAAATATATATATTTCATTTTAAATTTAATAATAGTTTAACTAAATAATAGAATGACAATAATATTTCATTTCAACTTTCTCGCTCACCAGAGTTAAATTTATGGTAAAAACACAAAAATATACTTGACACTGATTCTACCCAGCTATACAACGGGACTTTATGATGCAATTAGACACGCGTCTGCTCCATAGTGCTCGTCACAAGATTCTTGTCTCCCACAAAAACTCTCTCTCGTCGTCGTCGTCGCTTTTAATCGATTTCATACGTATTCTAATAAATCATTTCCCGATGCGTTCAATGTAGTTTCAGACTCCTCAGATTCAATGGAAAATCATCAATCACATCCTTATACAAAATTGCAATACCCCAGTCCTTTGATATCGTAGAAATTCCAACTATTCCTTTTGACTCTCTCTCTCTATCTCATCAATCAGATGGCACAATCTCATCTGATTGTGTTCTTCGCAGCAGTCTCGTGTCTCGTCGGTGTGCTCAACGCAAGTTCCGGTGATGCTGATCCGATTTACAAGTAAGCTCGGTGACCTAACTGTTCATTGATTGCCAATTTTCATAAATTAGAGTTCAGTATTTACTTTGTTGTGTGATTTTTTGAGTTTAATTCACTTTATTTGTACTGTTGGATGGATTGGGAATGGAAAGATTACCTGTGTTTTTGGTTGGACTTCGTTTGGTTGCTGAGAAAATACAGGAAAAGGAAATAAACTGATGTTAATCATGTCTCACTATTTGAGACTCTTTAGTAAGAATACCTAATTGAGCTTATACATATATATATGAAAGGAAGAAACTAAGAGTTTAGTAGCTGAACTAATATTTGACAATAGTTGTTTAATGGAGCTCACTGAAACTTCCCTCAGAAAAAAATTCTATGATCCATTTCAAAATCACCTAGTTACGCTGGTAAGGCTTGCTATTATAACACAGAGTGGTCCTTGAACTTCGTTTGGTTGCTGAGAAAATACAGGAAAAGAAAATAAACTGATTTTAATGATGTCTCACTATTTGAGACTCTAGAGTAAGAATATCTAATTGAGCTCACTAAATATATATATATATATATATATATAAAGGAAGAAACCTAGAGTTTAGTAGCTGAACTAATATTTGACAATAGTTGTTATGCTGGTAAGTCTTGCTATTATACCACAAAGTGAAACTTGACAGCAGAGGCGGCTCAATTCAAGTTAAGGCCTAAGGCAAAAAATTTAAAATAGGCCTCTTTGATTTTTAATATGTCCATAAAAATAACATTATTTAACTCTATCATTTTTGTTTAACAATCCATTCTTCTCATTTTTGAGATGCAAAAAGATAAAAATAAAGTCATCTTGAGTAATTTGAAAATAAAATTGTATATTTTGAGTTTTAACTAAAAACTGGAATTTCTTATAGTATAAAATTTGATTTTTATTTATAAAATTAGTTCTTTTCTTCTTCTTCTTCTTCTTCTTCTGCTTCTTTTTATTTTTTTAATTTTTAAATGAAAAATGGCGTGTCATGACCTTCAACATACATTTTAAATTTTAATTTATCATTTTTCACAATAAAAATATAATAATGAAAAACACTTATCAGTCTCACATATATGATCATACTTGATCATTTGGGATTCCAAATGTGGAGGAGCATTTGAACAATTGAGCACACTAAAGCATGTCAAATTTTTATTATTTAGAGTTATTTCAATGTGGAGATGCTTATGCAAGGCTATATAAACTAAAAGTTGAAGGATGGCTAAGCAAAGAAGTACTTTAAACAAATTTATTTTTGTAAATAGAGTGATAATGGATTTTTTTAATTTTATTTTCTTTTGTTATTATTTGTTTTTTTGTAGAAAGAGGATTTACACTTTAAATGTAAATTTGAGTGATTAAACACATTTTCTAGATAATGTCAGTTTTTATATACTAATATATAATTGAATTTGAGAACAAATCTTAAACTATAAAAAAATTATATTCAAATTACTTATTACTCAAAAATCAATTTATTAGAGAAAAAAAAATCAAGATGTTTAAGAATTCAAGACCTTTAAGAATGGTAGCAAGGAATATTTTAAATTCAATTACTTATTCATTCATATAAACAATGAATGCATTACATAAAAAATTAATTTAAAGTGGTAACTTATGTGTACACAATGTCTTAGTTTGCCACTCATTAATCCTTATTTAAATGTGGGGCACTGGGGCCTAAGGCAATGGCCTTGCCATTGAGCCGGCCCTGCTTGACGGGTAGGATGAGATCCTGGTTAGATATTTGGTGCTGGGAAGTTGACTTGTGTTCTTGGAATTGGTGGATTTCCATAGCAACTGTCAGATAAATTAGACTATCTATGTGCAAGGTAGATAGATTTTCATTTTGATCATTTGGTGATTTTCCTCAATTTTTTTGTTTGAATTCCTACAAGATTGTTGTATCCTATGGGTGAAAATAGATTGTGTGCAAGATAAATGCCTTTTTAGTTAAATGCTGGATGATAATGTGGTCTTTCCTTCTATCTGTGACTACAATTCATTTTTTGGGTCATGAAAGCTTTTTATGAAGTATGAACTTCTTTTTAAGATTTCTTCAGCTTCACTCCTTGTAGATTCTATGAAGTTATAGTGGTGCATGGTGAGGTGGTTTTCTCAAATGTGTGGAAGATCAGGGATCGTGAAATGGAAATTATTACATTTTTTAATAAATAGTTGGTAGTTTACCATTTTAAATATGTTGGGAGAACAGATTATTTATGGATCAATTTACCCTTGAGATTAAGTTAAAAGCCTTTGAAATTGATGGGGAGAGGGGCACAGTGAGAGAGTGAATTAGATTAGAGAGGGATTGGTTTGGGCATAATGGTTGGGGGGAACCAAAGTTGGTGATGGTGATTCTTAAATTGGTCAAAGATGTGGTGTTGACAACTGAGAAGAGGAGAGAAGAGAGAAAAACAGATGGTGTAAAACAGAACCTGTCACGACACAAGCTCACAGTGGAGATTTGAGATCTGAAACGCAGCGAGTCTAAGGTTTGGCTTGTGATTGTTATGTTTGATACCACAATTGAGGAGAGAAAAGAGAGAAAAACAGAAGTTGTAAAACAGAAATTGTCACGAGGCAAGTTCATAGTGGAGATATGAGATCTGAAATGCAGCGTGTTTAAGGTTTGGCATGTGATTGTGATGTTTGATACCACCATTGAGTATAGAGAGAGAGGGGGTTATAGTGGTGATGATGGTGGAAGTGGTGGGAGGAGGCGGCGGTGGTGGAGAGAGAGAGAGAGAGAGAGAGAGGGAGGGAGGTGGTCATGATGGAGATGACAATGGAAGTGGTGGGAAGAGGTGTTAGTGATGAGAGGAGGTGACGGTTGTTGGAGGAGATGGATAGGGGAGGGAGAGATTGCAGAGTCAGGGATAAGAGAGAGGAGCGTAAGGGGGTTTAGGTGGTTATTACTAAGGGGGTGACATGGTATTTACCAAAAAAAGAGGTTAATATAGTCTTTTGGCTTGACATGATTTTTTCTATTAAAATACTATTAAATCAAATAAGGGTATAAAAGACATTTCACGATATTACTTAAAGTCCATAAACTAAGACCATTCTATTTTATGCCTTGTTTGATTAGGCCTAACTTAGGGAGGCCAGTGTAGGTTACCCTTTTTTTGGGGCAAATTGCAGAAAACCCCTTTAACTATCAATCTTTTGCAACAAACCCTCGTGAACTATTTTTAATCCTAAAATTTGCTTATCTTTTTGTTGAAGAATCTATATATTCAAGTTACACTATCTCTAACAACTTAAGTTTTTGGAGTAGATGGTTGTTAAAATGGTGTCAGAGCCAAATCTCAAGTTCAAACTTCACCGTCACCCTAATTAAAATATTGAAAAACACGTGTTGGACTAAAAGAATGCCACACGTGAGTGGGTGTGTTGAATGATTTATATATTTAAATTACACTATCTCTAAGAGCTTAAGCTTTTAAAGTAAATGGTAGTTAACACTTTTAAATTTGTGCATAAAACCCCCTCCTCTTAAACAATAGTGAAGTCTTCATTAGTTTGTGATGTGAAATCACTAAACATCCCCTAACACTGAACCTGAGAAAATTAAAACAAAATAATAGATTCCCAAATTAATTAATTATATTCAATATGACATTGTTTTGTTCTTGTTATTTTTTCAAATTTATTAGGGGCACTTTAGTAATTTCACATCGTTAGTTAACGGAGACTTAAAGGTTGTCTAACGACAGGGACATTATGCAAGATTTTGAAAGATGAGGGAGTTTTTTTGGCTCTTTAAAATAGTTCTAGGTTTGTTGTAAAATATTGATGGTCTAGGTTTTGTTTTTTTTTTTTTCAAAAGGAAAGGAAATCAGTGCAAAAGTTGGGCTGGTTGAGGAAGTAAAGTTGGTTGTTGGCATGCTATTTGTAAAAATGAAGTTTTGTGATAAGCATTCTGACCTAGACCTTGAAATGCCACACCTGTAAAATTATGCGATCAACCTCGTTTACGATCCACTCCCCTTACAAGATTTTTATTCTAGGCAAAGCTGAAGCATTCCATAAAATTTCTGTATTTTCTTTTTCTTGGGTCATTAAAACCATGACCAATAGATATTTGGTGAAGAAAGGGTTCTCTTGTCTGTCCTAAATTGTTAAAAATATGGAATTTAGTGTTCTTCGTGTCTCCATGGCATTAAATACCCATAGAAACATTATTTTTTCCCTTATCTACATCTATAATTTTTTTTTACTGTTCTTTGAAATATGGATTGACACGTAGGGAATCAGGGATTATGATGGGATAAAGACCGGAACCCTAGACTCTGATATAGAGTTGTACAAGGTCTGTGATCTAGACCTAGAGGGAGGTGAATGGGTCTTGTAACTTTACCTAATTTTTACCATTTTTTGAATTCTTAACTAAATCATCAGAACGTAAAATTCAAATTAAAACTAGTAATGAAATTCAATCAGTCCATCATGCTAAAAATCATGCCGTTCGATTAGTAAAAACTAAAAGCAGTAAAAAGCATGAAGACATGAGAACAAAAATTTTATGAAGACGGGACCTAGTTCAGGCAAACTAAATCCACTATGAGAAAGAAGTTACGCCTAGGTGAACAATTCCAAAGCCCTCTTGACACAGACTGATCCACCAAATGCTCCATTTGAGTCTTCATGCGCACAATCCGTTCTTCAACAGACCCGCTCCTCACGCGGTTCGCTTCTTCAACCGGTGATTTTGTCTCCAATGACCAGTCGTCCACATCAATCTCTGTTTAATTGAATAACTGTTGTTCAATTGAATGACAATCGCCAATCTAATGAAATTGAAAAGAAAAATATGCACTCAATTTTGTTCAAAAACTCTCAAAAATATAGTCTCTGTGTGTAATGGATTTGTCATATGGTAGTGTATTTATAGACAAATAAGTGTTGTAGAGAGAGAAGGCTTTTTTTTTTTTTTGGTAAGTAAGAATTCATTAAAGGCCTCAAAAGGGGAGCCCTCCCAAGAGAAAACAGTAGAGAGAGAAGGCTTTTTAATGTCATAAGCAGAAAATGAAACTGCTGTTTCGAATAGCTTGATCGATTGAGAGAGATGTGAATCGATCGATATGACTTCAAAAGCCCTTGATCGATACCTTGATTGATTGAAGCATTCTGCAGTCCTATACTTAGATTTTTTTTTTTTAAAGGTAGTTTCCTAAACACTTTGTATGTGTATCAATTTGGATTTTTCAAATCAAATCATAAAATCTCAAAACCTTGGTGTATGAATGCATGAACTCTAATTTGGTGACCACGTAGAAGTGTCAACGTACCCTTATATCCTTGGTCTAGAAGATTATGCTTCTTTCATTTATATATATATAAATTAAAGTCATTCAAGAACGCTCAAAGCAGAGTACACCAAAACAGAACCACACAGAAAAATCCAACTCTACACTCTCCAAACTCCCTATACGCTTTTACCTTTGAATGTAGCTTGAATTCCATCTTGGACCATGAGCAAGAGGTTACAAACTAGCGGTGCAACTCGGGCGTGTTAGAGGCTCAACCCAAAGTATAAATTTTTCAACCCTAACCCAACCCGACCACTAACCCGAGCCAACCCATTCTTAATTTTTTAAGCTCAGGTTGAATTCGGTCTTCCAACTTGGATTGATACTTCGAGTTGATGTACTAACAAATGGAATAACCTTAATAATGAAGATATTGGCATGACATAATAACAGCGGATCAAAAGCTTAAGTTTAAGGGTAAATTACACTCAGACCCCCTAAGGTTAAGTCATTTTATACTTACATGAAGATTTTAGTTTTAATTTTCACTTATATTTGAAAGAGTGATTTGGTGTTTCATTTACACCCAAAATGTCAATTTGGAGTGATGTCACGATTACTTTTAGGTGTAAAATGACTATAAAACCCTTTTGATTTTGCACTGATTTTATTTCATATATAAAATGACTTAACTACCCCAACAAACCCATCTGAAATGACCAAAATGTCCCTAAAACACAAACTGAATCCTATCAATAGAGTTTATTGGTGGAATGAGCTGCTCGGCGGGAAGCTTGAAATGTCGGCACTGATGATACTGAAATTTAAGGAACAGCAGCCAAGGAATGAACTAGTAAGAGGTGGGTATGTTCCGTAGAGGTGAGCGGTGATGGGTGGCTGTTGACAATCGCCGAATTGGGGTGGGTTTGTTCCGACGTTAGTGATGATGGATGACGTGATTGCAAGGAGGCATGGAACGGCGAGAACAGGAGGCTATGACCATGAGTGGACGATTAACGTGTCCGGCAAACTTACCGGCAGAATTGTCTTCACAGGTGAGCATGGAGTGCATGCCGGCGAAGTGGGTCTATGGTGATGATGGACTGTAGGTTCGAAGCGACGAAGATGGCTAGTGGTTGATGGACCGGCGATGGTGAAGATGATGGCATGGTTTTGAGTCTTGACGGCGACGGATTGAGCAGCTTAACGTGGACGACGGTACGGAATGGCAATGGGAACACTTCGTCCAAACTCTCTCTATCATCACGACCATCTTGCAGCCTGAAAAACTTACCAGCGGGCTGCGGAAATGTCTTCACTGGTGAGCATGGAGTGCACAGCGGCGAAATGGGTCTAGCAATGATGGACGATAGTTCGAAGCGAAGTGGGTCTGTGATGATAATGGGCCGGTAATGGTGAAGATAATGACATGGTTTTGAAGGCGACGGATTGAGCAGCTCAACGTGGACGACTATGTAGAATGACAGTGAACTTGAATGGGAATGCTTGGTTGATGGGTCGGCGATGGTGATGATGGATGGCAGTTCGATGCCATCTTTGGTTGTATAGTGTGTTTGTATCGTCGTCGAGGAAGGCATGGACCATGTTGTTGGCCATGTCGAGGACATAGAAGCCACTGATGAAGATGATGATGGCGCGGGGCTTGGGGGTCTTTTTTGCTATAGGGTCACGGAGGAGACGGCCCAGGTCGGTAGAATAGCTGATGAT